CCGGATTCTCAAGCGCAGGATGGGGGAGGGTGGGGCAGCAGCTGCCGCTCAAAGGAAAACCAAAAGTGCGTCTATTCGCGCCTCCCCGACACGTTCCTGCTTAGGGGAGGACCCCGCGCGCCCCGGCCGCACCTCCCTTTGCAGCCCCTCCAAGACCTCGCTAGCGTGGCCTCCGGCCCGCGTGGCGCGGGGAGGGAACTGGGAGGCGAGTAGCAAAGTGTCACGATCTCTTCCTCTGAGCCCTGCCCCCTTCCCCACCCCCAGTTTTCTGGGTTTTGCTGCTGCCGCTGGGGAAGAGCTGATCCGTTTTGCGTCAAAAGACTGCATTTACTCAGTCCTGCTGGGAGAGGCGCGTAAACACCCCAGCAGGCCAGGACGCAGGGATGTAAAAAAGCCACGCACCCACAGCTGGCGCGTGTGTCCGCCGACCCCACACCCTCGGTCTGGGTCCGCGCAGTTGCAGACTCTGCCAGGCGGGCAATGGCGGAGGTGCGAAGGGTCAGGCCGGCCTCACCCCGCCGTGCGCGCACGTCCTTGGGGATGGAGCTCAGGACAGAATGTGTTTTATAACTGTAAACAATGACCCCGAGTATTGTTTGGGATTACCGTATCTTGGGGCCCTTGGGGCGGCCAGATGCCGCCAGCCGTCCCGGAAACGCCAGCGCTTTATATAGAGCCCCGGGAAAGCTTCGAGTTCCCGGCCCTATTTTTCTTTCCTAGCAACGCCTCCACTTCGCAGATAAGGAAACTGAGGACTGGGACTGCATGTGCTAGGGCGCGTTGCGCTTCGTAGTCCACAGTGAAATCCCAAGGACATAGCTTCCCTATTTGGTTCTCCTCAGGGACTCTGGGATACGGATGGCGCTCTTTTACGAGTTGGGTAAACTGAGGCCAACGCAGGCCCCGGTCCAAAATCCTGACTCCTGGGACAGTGTGCTTTTCTAGCCACACGTCGCCTCTGCAGGATTGCAGCTCCATAGCAGACAAAGGCCTTAGAAGGTTAGGTCTCAAACCCTTCATTATACAGGAGGAAAGTGAGACCCAGAGAGGTCAAGGGACTCGCCCAAGTGCTTATGGCTTGCAAACAGAACAGCCTGGCGTCCGTACTCCCAGGCCTGTGCTCTTTACCCCGTGCCTGTCCCCTCCCAGTGAGGCGGGAGGACCCGAGTCCAGCTATGCGCGCCCTGAACTTCGCTCCAAAACAGCTGAAGACAACTTGGGGCACACCCTCGCTGGCCTCCCTCTTCCGTTTTTATTTTTTAACAGCAACAGCCTAGAGTTTGCTTATAAGGCCTGACTGGTCCTATTGGATGCATCCTAAATGCCTGCTACCCAGGGAGGCCCGAGTGACTTGAGCGGTGAGTTCTGTCTTCAAAGCTACCCCTAACAAGTGAACTGTAGGACCGAAACAAATGAAAAAGCACAAAAAAGGGAAGCAGTGGGCAGCCCGCGGCTCAGGGAAAAATAGGCAGGCCAGCCCCGCCTGGCGGCGCCGCGCCGCGCCCCGCCGAGACCCGGCCGCAGGGCGGCGCGGTACCCTGCGCGCCCAGGGCGCCCGCTGCACCCGCCGGCGCCGCGGAGGGTGCGGACGACCGCGCATGGCCGCGCCCTCCCTGCGAGCGGCTCCGCGCGCCGGGCTCCAGGCCTGGCGGTGGCGCCGCACTGAGCCGCCCGTCTCGTCTTCAGGACTGTGATTGTTTTCTAAAGCCCGGAGTCCAGGCCGCGCGGCCGCTCTCGGGCCCCGCCCCGCGCCCCTTGCCGGGGCGGGGGAGGGGAGAGGCCGCGGAGCGCCGGGGAGCGGGCGAGGGAATCCCTCTCCCTCCACGTCACCCGAAAGCGAGGAAACCCGCACTCGCGTCCTCTAACGCAAATGACCATCTTTGGCAACGTGCGCCAATGGAACAGACCAAGGGCGCCGGGCCCGGAGGGGTGGCGAGGGCCGGGGCTACCTCGGCTCCCCTAAACCACACGAGCCACCCGCTTCCACCCTCGCCACCGCCTTCCTTCCTCGCGCGGGGTGCGCGGTTGGCGTCAGCGCGGGCGCGAGCCGGGCCGGCGGGGAGCGTCGCGCCCGCCTCCTCCCCGCCCGCCCGCCCCCTTCCTCCTCCCCTCCCTGCCCGCGGCCTCCTCCCGCCGCCTCCCGCGCTCCTCCCCACGAGGTGGAGTCTGGGTTGACGTGAGTGAATCCATGTGGTAGGGGCTAGAGAATAAAGAGTGTGGAGTTGAACTCGTGCCATTGTAGTGACTCATCTCGGGCAGAGCGCAGGGGCTCCGAGCGAACCAGCGAGCGAGCGGTGCTCGGCGGGGACAGAGAGAGGGAGAGGAGAGAGGGCGAGGCGCGGACGCGCGAGGCGGGCCCGTCCGGGAGCGGGCGCGGGCGCGGGCGCGGGCGCGGGGTGCAGTCGGGGCGCGGGGCGCAGGAGCGCGTCCCCCTCAGCCGGCGCAGCTGGAAGCCCACCGGCCGCTGTCCCGCCTGCGCGCTGGGAGCCGCGGCACGGGCGCACGCCGCCTTCTAGCCGAGTGTCCGAGCCGCTCGGAAAGTCAGGCGGCGAGCCGGCCACAGGAAGTTTATTCTCGGGCTCCTTTTCTAAAAGGAAGAAACTGAAGTTTCTCCGAGCGGCCAGCTTTTCTTTTTGCTTTCCTTTTTTTGGGGCCGGGGGACCCCAGATCTGACAGGCGAGGCTCGCCGGGTTCCTAGCCATTTTTCATTTCCAATTTTTTTGAGGGGTCGTGGGTCGCGGATCGGCTCCGGCTGCGCGCGGGGGCGGGAGGGTGCGCGCAAGGGAGGGACCGAGGGACCGGCGACTTTTTAGAGGGAGGGACCGGGTGGACAACTGGTCCCGCGGCGCTCGCAGAGCAGGAAAGAAGTGCGGCGCGAGGCGCTCGGGGGACGCTTCCCGGGTATCGCCACTTCCCGGTCCGCGCCCGCCGCCGCGGGGGAAAGTCCGGGAGCGCAGCCCGCGGCCGGCGGAGGAGCGAGCGCGCAGCGGCTTGAGCGCGGCCGCGGCGAGGGCGGGGGAAGAAAGACACCCTGTTTCCTCTCCGGCCCCCACCGCGGATCATGTACCAGGATTATCCCGGGAACTTTGACACTTCGTCCCGGGGCAGCAGCGGCTCTCCTGCGCACGCCGAGTCCTACTCCAGCGGCGGCGGTCAGCAGGTAGGTGCGGGCCGCGGGTGCACCTGGCGGCGCGAGCGGACTCCCGCCCTCCTCTCATCGCCCCTGCCTCTGGCTTGCTTGCTTTTCTTCTTTTTGGCTTGGCAAGAACATCCCTACGGGTTGTGAGTTGTGGGTTTTCGCCCCGCTCCACCCCACCCCCTTCGCACTTTTTTTTTTTTTTTTTTTAAACTGCACTTGAAGGACCAACGAACCCTTTACTATTCAGGAAAGCTCCTGGAATCGCGGGTCCTCCGCCCTTAAGTCTGTTCCCTCCTTCCAGGACCCCGCCTTCCGCCTTCCCTTGTCTCAGCGATGGACGGAGAAAGCACTAATCCTTCCCAACAGTCCTGTACCCAGGGAAAGCCCTCTCCGTCTCTTCTGGCCTTCATCAGTCTTAGTTCATTTCGGGAAAAGACTAGGGACTCAGAAACGTGGTTGGGCTGCTTCAAGTAATGGGGAGAGATGGGGGGGGGGTGCCTCTGGGAATCAGGTGCGAAGGTCAGAAAAGAGGCTGGCCTTGATTGGCTCCTGCAGCCTGCGCGCCCGCGTCAGTTTCCTGTTGGGGTCTAGGCGGCGGGGAGCCAGCACTGCGCTGAGAGCAGCGCCTCAAGGGTCTGGGGGGTACCTGGGGCAAGGAGACCCACAGAGAGAAGTAAGGGAAAGAGACATCTCTTGTCTCCTGGCTGGTTCTAGAAGCAGAAAAACAAGTGGTTTCTAAAGCAGCTAGACTGGTTTACACTGGAGTGATTGTACCTGTGATCAGTGTGGCTGTAAGTACCACAAAGCTGCTGGTGGGGTGGGTTCCTTCAGCTGCGGCTTCCCCACTTCCCTCTGTCTTGTGAAGAAGCTAGGTTAACACTCAGGGCCCTATGCAACCCGAAGCCTGCTCTGGTCAGCATCTGTGGGGTCTCTAGCCAAGACAACTACAGCAGCATTAAGCAGTGACCCTGTCCCCTAGGAGCCAGCCAGCCATGAGGGGCTAGGGTGGGCTTCCTGGAAGGAGTGGACCCCGCTGGAGAATAAAATGTGAACATGGCTCTTTATTGGATCTGAAAAAGAATATCTGTTTCAAAGAAGATCTGATTCCCCATACCGGGTGGGTGTCCTACGTGGCTTTTCTGTGTTCCCGTACCCCTGTACTGCCCAAGCACCCACTGTAGAAGGCATGGTCTATGCATTGAGTAGGTGCCCTTAACATGAGCGCTGTGGTGATGAGTTTAAAAATCTTACCTGAAAAGTTCATTATGTTTGCTTCTCAGCCCAGCTGCAAGTTTGTGTTGGCTTCAAACATCATTAATTAATGGGTTAGGGTAGTTTATATCCATTCCCTCACTTTCCAATTCAACAAAACTCCAAACACCTCTCTCCTCCTCCTGGAATCAGAAAGGGATTCTCTGTTCTTGGACTTCTCTATTCTTTTTGCTAACACGTCTGAGACAGTGATCCTTGACATTAACATTCTCATTGCCCAGCGTTGCTCTGACCTGGGGCCTGGATGGGAAGTCGGAACAGACATCAATGCCCCAACTGAATAATCTGTGTCACTAGGGCTTTGAGCCCAGGATGTGAGCAGGGGCAATTCCGTTTTGGAAGCAAATCAGACAGGAAACTAGTGGTAGGAAGAAGGAAGGGAACTCAGTCCAGCAGAGTGTAATAGGGCCTCATTACCGAAGCAAAAAGCAGCTGTTGGCTAATTTCTAGCATGCTGTAACACATGAGGATTTTGCAATTAGCAACCATCAGCACACAGTTTCTTATGTTCGCCTGCCTGTTTGACCCAGCAGTGTGAGCAGTGTGCCTTTCAAACCGGAGAGATTGGCGAGGTAATTTGCTTAGACGAGGTTTTCTTTCTGCCTAACGTGGGATGGACGATGGAGCGGCACTGGGGAGAGTTTTTTCATCATTGCTGTGACTTTTCACAAAATTTTTCTGAGATACTGAGGACTGACCTCAGGGCTGTTCCCCTGCAAGTCTGCGCTCTGACCTCGCTGAGTTTGGGCTCAAGATAACTTTATTGCATACCAGATAAATCCTGTAATCACTTTATTTCTCTGAGCTGCCTTTATGAGTAGACTTTTCTGGGGGTTAGTTGCTGGGCTTCCTCCTATCAGTGTGACACAGTTGTTGATTCTTATTGGTAGGGTCCAATGTTCCCGATAAGTTTGTTGTTGGTACTCAATCCAGAGCTTTCTTCTCTAGCTACAGAAGGCAAACTGAATTCCAGAGACAAATTCCAGAGACTTGGAGAGTGGAAGGCAGACAGTTCTTTGTTAAAGCCTCAGTTCTGGTATAAGGCAGGAACTTGAATCATGAAAAATATTTCCTGTTGCAGTTAAAGTTTTAATCTCAAAGATTGGTAACTGGTGATTTTAGGTTTGTTAGAAACAGTTACACATACCTTCCCCTCCTGGAGTTTGTTTTTTGTTGTTGTTGTTGTTGTTTATGTTTTCTGTTGCCTATCTCTCCTAGGACAACACCTCCCAGATATATACCGTGCCTAGCTGCTTGACTGTTAGGTTTCTGGGCCTGGGCATTACGCAATCCAGCCAGTTACACAAACACAGGTCATTTCATAACTTGTTTTCACCAGCCAGGCCCCCTTTCAATGAACAGAACAAAACAAAACAAAAACAAGACCAAGAACTTTTCCAGTGCTACTATTTGCCTGTTTCCCGGATAACTTGTGAAAATAAATCAAGCGGGATATTTCCTTTTGGAATCGAGGAACATCAGACCAGCTCTCTTTTTCCTCGGCCACTCTTTCCCGACTCACACACACGTACACGCACACGCACACGCACACACGTACACATGCACGCACAAAATTCCCCGGAGTGAACTTTTGCCAACTGTACCAGGCTGGGACATTCCTCACATCAAAGAACTTTTACCAGAAATGACTGTGATTCCCAAGTCGGCCTCAATCAAACCTCTCTGGTGCCCCCTATGGGACATTTGTAGAAGAACTATCTTGAGGATGTATTTTTCCAGCCCCGAAAGAGTGTCAACTTGGTTAGTTTTTGAAATTCTTAGGATTTTTCTTTTTATTTCGGGACAAATAAATGCCGTGTATTTAACAGTGGTTAACTAGGAATGGCTTGACTTCAAAATGAGTTTTTTATTTATTTATTTTTGTTCTAAATAAAACCTGCTTGGAAAATATTTTTTTCCTTTTCTCCGATTTTGATGTCTCTTCGTTAGGGGCCAACACAATATTACCGCATCCTCAAGGCTTATTTTCTTTATGTGTTTGTATAAGTGTGTGTTTGTATGCAGCTCATTCAGAATTGGTGGGAAGATGGGAGATGTAAATTAAGGACCTGGTTGCTTTTGAATTTAATTTTTTCCTTGATCTTACAGATGTAGATTAGGAATGAACGAAATGCTTTTCCAGGAATTCATCTCTTTTGCTGATTCTTGGTGGGGGAAGTCGACCTCACGTTTTTGTCAAAGTGAATGGGGTGAAATAGTCATGTATTGTCTGAGTGGCAGCTGAAATTCCGTATCTAAAGCCCTGAGCGCATTTCTGCCTGCTTGTTGTTGAAGGTGAATATAAATTAGGAAACCTGATTTTTTTCTTTGTCTATCTTAGTATAAACACACAAGAATTTCCACATCTAAATCACTGTTGTGCCCTTTGTGTTTTATCTTTGGGAGACTAAATACTTACTTCAGGGCTGTGGCTGTGGTCAGCCCCAGAAAACTTTGGCAATACCCTCCTTTTAGAATTGCTTGCAACATATCCTTTTGGAAATCCTCCGTCCTAACAAACCTTTGGCCCTGTAAGGGTGAATTAGATATTCAGGAATTACCAAACGAACTTTGGGAAACCAAGTTTGACCTAGAAAGTCTGAGTGACCAGGCTGAGTTCAAACTAGAGTGTGACCCAGCTCCGTGGCTCTCAGCCTTGACAGTTTGCCTGGGAAACGGCTCCCTCCCCTTGAGGCCAGCACCTGTGGCACCCTGCCTTGGCCATCTATACTTTTCTTTCCTTTGTTAAACAGGAATAGAGACGCAGGTTTTCAGAACTAAGGAAACTCTGGTTTTTATGTTGAAAGAAGGAAAAAAACAGTATCGTACTTTGTGTCTTCTGGTTACTTTTGGTGGCCGCAGCATTTCACAACCATGGCAGCTGCTCTGATTGAGGTAAATATATCTGTTCCAAACCCCATTCTGTAATTCAACTCCTTCTCAGCTTCCTGGGCTGCAGGGAGAAGATGTGAGATTGCACAGCCCTGTTATGTGACTGACAACCTGTGATTCTAAAGCAAGATGAGATGTTAGGCTCCCTATGGAGTGCAGAGCTCAGAGGATTGGTGGCTGTAGGAAAAGGTCCCCAGGACAGTGGAGTGGAGTTTCTGACCAGAAGGACCCTGGGAAGAAGGAATCCAGGACACCCTGGGATGGTTCCGTACCAGCAACTGTTATCTTTTTCTTTTCTTCCTTGTTTTTTTTTGTCTTTTTCCTTTTTACCGGTACCGGGGATCGAACTCACGACTGCCTGCTTGTAAGGCAGGCACTTATGCCACTGAGCTAAACCTCCAGCCCCCTTCTTCCTTGCGTTTTTCCACCTAAACAGTAAAAGAGAATTAAGAGGTTATTTCAAGTGAAGCTGAGAAAGCAAAGGTGCTGGCGTGTACAATGAGACTTTGGAAATCATGAGTTACGAGTGACAACTTCCATTGTGACATAAGTGGCATTTCCCTGGAGAAGAATGAGAAGTCAAACGTCACGATGTTGTCCAGTGCGCAGTTTGTGAAGCCTGGTTGAATTCCATACTGACAGCTTTGAAGGCTTTGGAGGACATTCTGGCTTCCTAAGAAGGCAGAGCATTGGCATTGTATTTATTGCTGCTGGATGGCCACGGGGGCAGTGTGGGAAGCGTTGAGACACATTTGCTCCTACCCTTTTTCTTCCCTGCAGCCAGGCTTCTGGGATGTTGGAATTTTCCTTTCCCCATCTTGGAATCTAAAAATAGAGAAAGAGACTTGTTCTTTCCCAAACATCACACCTGCCTTCCCGTTGGGGCAAGTCACAGAGTCCACAGGACTCGAGGTGTGAATGGCTGGGGATCCCTGGTAAGAATCAATCCAGTGGAGAAGTAACCTCCAGTGGAGGTTGGGCCAGGAATACCAGCCATGCCTTCCATGTGAAGGATCATTTCTACCTGGCTCAGGAGTCCCTGGGATAAGCCCTCTGGGAAAGGGGGACCTCTAAGAAAGAGAGGCCCAAACCCTCAGTCAGCAAAAGGCCATGGGTGTGAACCTCATGTCTGAATTTAAAGCCCCCCTGAAGAGACCCCAAAGGTTACTTTCCCAAGTTATCAATGGATGACTGTAGGACTTCTTTAGCTTGTAGGAGCCGGCCCTGTGTCCTTGCCACTTCTTGTGGGCAATGGGAGGGCACATAGTACTCAACCAGCAGCCCATGGCGCTCCAGGCTCAGGGTACTCTAGAGGGACACTGAGATTCCCATGCTCAGAGACCCACAGCACAGTTTGTAAGGGCTTGAATTTGGACACAAGGATTGGAGGTACAAACTGATGAAGAAGGCCCATCTCCTTGGCTCTCTGGGTCAGAGGACCTGAGCCCAAGAGGTGAGAATGACCTTGTAGGATGGGATTGGTAAATTATCTTCATAAATGAAGTTTATTGAAGTCTGGGCACACCTGTTTGCTTCCATATTGTCTGTGGCTTTCCACATGACATGATGGCAGAGTTGAGTGGCGACATAGACTCTGTAGTCCTCAAAGCCTGAGATATTTGCTCTCTGGCCCCTATTTGGCTTTGCTTTCTAGTTGCAAAGCTTACCATATTCCACTCTAGGGGGTCAGTGGGAGCTGTTTTGTCCTTTGTAGCTGCTTCCTAGGGGCTGCGGAGTCACGGAGAGCCAGGTCACCTCTTCCACCCCTCACTGCCCACACAATCCCGCTACTGCAGCATGCAAATCTGCCCTGATGCTGCAGCGTGGTGAAATGTTAACTCACACAGAGAACCACGATTCATCCCCAACGGCGCTGGCCGGTCCTTGGGTCTGTTGGCTTAGAAGGACGCCAGGCTAACTTGTAGGACTGCAGACTCTTCTCCTCACCTCCTTCCTCCTACCCCAGTGCTGCTTTCTGAATGATACGTTTGGCGTTGCCAGATCTAACTGAAACCTCTGGAGACAAAAGCCTTCTTTATCGGGCCCCAGTCCCCTCTGGGAATGGGACATTGTTTTCCTTGCAGTTTGGAGCCAGTGTGTTATCCAGATGGCTTTACCTCCTGTCTGAAACAAGGTATACATGCGATTCAGAGGCAGTCATTACCTCCTGCCTTGTTTTAATTGCTGTCTTGTTTTGTCTAGACCAACACTGCTATAAGGAAGCGTGTTCTGAGGACCTAAGTACCTGCCGTCCGTAGAGCAGGGGGATTGAGAGGCAACCCCCATCCCTAAGTAATCTCAGTCTCCCCACTTTGCTTCAGATTTTTGCTTGTTTCCCCAGTGCTAGAATAGGTACACTTTTGTTTGTTGGAGAAAGTGTTTCTTGGGTGCTTTCCTGGAAGGAAAGCTGACGGTTCCCCCATGGAGGAGGGTCACAATTTGATCCTGACACTGGGTGCGGACTGCAGACTCTTCTCCTCACCTCCTTCCTCCTACCCCAGTGCTGCTTTCTGAATGATACGTTTGGCGTTGCCAGATCTAACTGAAACCTCTGTGTGTCTCTCAGAGAGGCTCCTCTGGAGACAAAAGCCTTCTTTATCGGGCCCCAGTCCCCACTGCGGACACCTCCAACCCAGAACCTGGTTTGAGGAGAGCCACAGAAGACAAAAGTTGGGTGCTTCCCGAGAGTGGAAGCTGGCTGTTCTTCGTGGAGTTGTGTAGTGCAGAGTACACAGACCCGTGGAGAGATGAAGGCAAGAGGGTGACCATAGTCGGTGACCATGAAGGCGGTGACCGTATACCTTCCATTTGAACACGGTGTTTCAACCCCGGTTGCGTGTTAGAACCTTCTTGGGGGTTTAAAAAAACAGCTTTATCAGAACTCCATCCCCCCACCAATTATTTTAGCACTCTCACAGTAAGGCTGTGACATTAGTGTTTTGGACGAGCTCCTTGGATTATTCTAGGGTGCAGCCAGGGATGAGATCCCCAGGGTGCCTCGAAGCCTGTGATTACAAATAGCTAGTTATTTAATCCTCATGACAGAGCTGGAGTTGGGCACTAGAGTTCCTCTTTCTGTCCTGGAATGGAGTCCTCAAGAACTGGCCCAGTGCAAAGCCGGGCCTAGCTAAGCCAGGTCTCCTGACTCCAAGTGCAGTGTGACTCTGGTCCCTCCCACCTGGCATCCCAAGAGAAAAGTTGCTGTCTGGGACTCAGTGCTTCTGCATACCCCCAGCCATGCCCACCGTTTCACGTCTGTGTCTCCTCACAGTCCAACAGCCCAGGCCTGGCCATCTGCTTTTCCTCATTGGAGATCATTCCTCACTTGGATTCTTTCATGTTCGCTGCATACATCCCTCTCTTACATGCACCTGCTTCTTCTCAATCAGCTTGTGGTAAAAAGCCCAAATCAGTTTTGTCTTTAGAGGTATGATTCAGAATCTGTCTCTCTAAGTAGCTGCCTTTTGCAATCCCAGAATCCATTGCACTGGGCAACCTTCCTTTGAGAATCCCATAATCCTTTGCTCTGACAGCTCTTAGGAAATACATGGTGCGAGGCAGCTCTCTTCACTGAATGCCCTTGGCTTGGAGCTGGGAGGTGAGGCAGCCATGTTTTACTATCCAGACTGGGCCAGGGAGGTGAGTGAGGAAGGATTCCCAGCTTTGCCAACTATAGTGAGGTACTCTGAGGTTCATTTTATTTACACAGAGATGCCCAGTCGTTGTTACCCATGACAGAGATAACAGTGGTGGCCATTTGGCTTCCAATCCTGGTTGGCCCTACTGGACTGGAATGGAAGACACTATAGAATTTGTGCTAATGACCACAGGCTTTCACTGGGGGTCAAACAAATCTGTGGGACCGCCTTGGTCTGTAGGGATCTTTGGCCAGGGTGATCTGAAGGACACTATCTGAGGACAATGGAGGCAGATACTGCTGCTTAGAGCTGGATTTTGAGAAAAATGAAGCAACTCTAAAGAAGCTTATGGCGCCATGTTGAGAGCTCCAGCCTCTCTGTTATGCTGAACTGAGTTTGAATCCTAACCCCACTGCTTATTAGCCGTATGGCCTTGGATAAGTTACCCAATATCCTCAGACTAAATTTCTGCCTTGAAAATGGAGATAGTAGTCATTCTTGCCCTCGAGGGAGAATTAATGAGATGATGTAGGTTGAGACATTAGCATAGCACCAGTCATTTAGTGAGTGCAGGCTGTGGTTACTGTCATGGTTTCATCTACCAGATGAAGGGGGGAACCTGGAGAACTTCTTCATGGGCACAGGCATCATCCAAGGGTGAGGATTTACCTGGGGTCCACTGGGGCTTTTCTCCCACGAGTGGGGAGGCCCTCTTCTTTCCCCTCTTTTCTCACTTGCCCAGCACTGCTGTGGAGGAAGATTGAGCCTAACTGCTGAGGAACTGGCCCATTTTCATTTCTGTACTGTCATCATCTTATGTTTTAAGTCGAATGCTTCCTGAAGGATGTTCCAAAGAGCTCTGCAGTATGGTCTGGGCATAAATTAAGAGACATGAAGCAAACTCTGAGCTGGCAGCAGTAGTTTCCTGCAAATACATATGTGAACCCTGACAGATAGATGTGTGGATAATCAGTAGAGATCCCATGTCCAGTTCAGGTGAGATGCTGATACAGGGAAAGAAGAAGGAAGCCTGGCTACAGATATCTTACTCATGGTCTATAAGACACATCCTCATGGCCTTGACTTGATGGGATCATGGCTCCATTCTGAACCTCTTTGGAAAGTGACCAGTGCAGACACAGTATGTTTCTTCATGATCTTTCTTGCTCCGAAGCTGATAATGTGCAGATCTCAGGTCGAGGTGTCCTGAGCTAGTATCCCGGAGAATAATTAGCAGGTGTCTCAGAGGCGTCAGAGGCCCAGGTGCTGCGTCTTGCAGATGTGTGCCCTGGAGGGCTGCAGGGTGAGTGAGCAGCTGGGCATCAAGGGTGACTTAGGAGTTATTTGGGATATGGGAGCATCCTCATTGAGCCACCTGGGAATAGAGTTCTGAGGATGCCAGTTGGGGAGCAGATCCAAGACCCCAGAAGGAGTTGAGATCCTCCTAATCCTTGGGTCTGTGGTACCTACCCAGGATTATCCAAGGCAGCCCACCTGTGGTTCTGACCTTTCTCTCCAAACACTGACTATATCGGCTTCAATCATACCTTTCTGCTTGTTTCAGAAGTTCCGGGTAGATATGCCTGGCTCGGGCAGTGCCTTCATCCCCACCATCAACGCCATCACCACCAGCCAGGACCTGCAGTGGATGGTGCAGCCCACAGTGATCACCTCCATGTCCAACCCCTACCCCCGCTCGCATCCCTATAGCCCCCTGCCGGGCCTGGCTTCTGTCCCTGGACACATGGCCCTCCCAAGACCCGGCGTGATCAAGACCATTGGCACCACCGTGGGCCGCAGGAGGCGAGATGAGCAGGTACAGCTCAGGCCAGCAGAAAGGAGCCATGTTAATGTTGGCACCTGTGGGGCTTTATAAGCACAGCAGGTTTTTCTGCAGACTTCTGGGGAGCAGGGGTAATGTTCTGGATGCACCGAGGAGACCGGGGAACCAGACGATGAGAGGAGACAGGGCAGTGCCTTGTGGAGCTACAATCCGAGTCAGGCTTGGCTTTATCTCACCTGTGTCCCTCAGAAGAATCTGTTTCGTCTACTTCGAAATGGGGACAGTGGTTTCTGCCAGCTGGTACTTGATGCTCGAAGGAGATCATGTGTGGGAAAGCACACGGTAGCTACAAAATGTCAGTGGATAGGAAGTGCTGTCCTGACTGCCTGTAGCAGCGTCCTGCTGTGAGCGTTGGCAGAGGCTACAGAGTGAGCACCACTGCGCCATGGCTGTGAGCTGTTTGGGAGCAGCCCTTAGCTGTGTCCCAGGGTCTGGAGCAGGCCAGGCACCCAGCAGACCATACTCAGGGCTGGTACTAACCACACATTTCTCGATCTTCCTCAGTGTCCTAGGCCTTTGACTCAAAGCAGCAGCCCTTACAGGTTCCTGGAAATGTTCTGTATGTCCTAGAAGTATGGTGACTCTGGGTGAGGGCTCGGGAGCTGTCCAGCTGCTTAGGCTGATGAGGGGGCCCTCAGCTTTGAAAGAGGGTTAACTTGGCAGGAAAGGCAGTCAGAGAATGGCAAGTGCTTTTTTAGGAAGCATCTGCAAATATTCAGAAGTCCTGTGATCTGCATCCACAGTGAGTTGAGGTGACACTGAACCCCATGATTCCTGAAAGCAGGGGCTGAGGCCTTCAAAGGGCTCTAGCTGCCCTCCTTGGCAGGGGATGCAGCAGGGCTAGGCCTGTCTGGTTGTGCTCCCTTGGTGAGTGGGCGGGCAACTTTGACAGCTCTGAGCCAGTTTGCTGGACTCGCCTCAAAGTGCTCTTCCTGCAGGCCATGCCATTATGAGCCCTGAACAGGCAAATACTTTAGCGGTGAACTCTCATTCAAATAAAAGTGAACCTGGAAAACTACTCTAGGGCCAGCATGGGAACCCCTTTCCCTTCCAGACCACCCATTCTACTTTAGGACCCCCAGGCCGCCACATGCCAGTACAGGACCTTTAAATAACATGGTTCCTTGTGGGTAATGGTGGATCCAGGAACAGTACGGTGCTTAGAACTATAAGGATAACCAGCCCAAGGAACTGGATGCTTTTTTGGGAGCCCTGCTCCTCTGGAAACAAACCTGGGCCTCATATCCAGTACCTGTTAATGGCAGGGCCATAGCACAAGGCCCATGGGGATGTACACAGTAATAAGTGGACCTCATGGTTGCATGTTGGGCCTCTGCCACTGGGGTAGGGGGTGACCCTGCCCCTAACCATGACTTTCCCTAGTTTCAGTTGGAAATCTTACAGTAGCAGTGAACATAATGTTCTTTAGAAATGTTTCCTGTGGGGCTGGGGATTTAGCTCAGTGGCATAAGTGCCTGCCTTGCAAGCAGGCAGTCGTGAGTTCCATCCCTGGTACCGATAAAAAAAAAAAGAAAGAAAGAAAGAAAGAAATGTTTCCTGCAGAGAGTCTCAGGTGCAAAGCTCTGTGGTCACTGATGAACCAGATTCTCCTTGGGTGTAAATGACATCATACAACAGCCAGGCTTGAGAGGAACTCTTGTTGGCTAACAGGACAGCAAAACAAGGTGTGCTCTGATCATTCATTTTCTGCTGGGTCTCCCTCATGCCACTTTCAGACATTTCTGTCTTGAAGAGATTGGGAAACCATCTTTTCTAATTTTCCCTCTGTATATCATCCATAAACAAATGGAGGCCCAGAAAGGAGAAAACCACTGTCCTGAGACACATACTGAGTTAGTAGCAAAGGCAGGATTGGAATCCACCAGTGTGACCTTCAACCCTGGCTTTTCTTTCCCGCCATGCCATCTAGCTGTGCCCTAAGACAGTCTGCCTGGAGAATTTCCTTCTTTCTTTGAGAGGAAGGGAGAGAACCAGAAGAATTTCCTTCCATATCAGTTAGGAACTCAGATGATCAAAGCCTTGGGAAGCCTGCGAAGCTGGACCCTAGAACTTCAGCACTTTGCTCCCTAGCCTGGGGGCCTTTTCTCTGTCTGAGTGCCCCGACTTCCCGCACCTGTTAGCAGGAGCCATCCTGGGGCCCCACGGCCCTCTGGAGCTTGCCCAGATGAGACGGCTGTGACGAAGCAGGGAGCGGAGGGTGTGTGTGGCTTGTGGGCGGGTCATGGCGGTGCTGACACACACAAGCCGTACCGTGTTGATCTCACCACCCCTGAACACTTCTTATGTCAACAGCTCCCATAAGTTACTACACCTCACCAGACAGGGAAGAGACTTCTGGGACCCAAAGTTGTCTGGGAGAAGGAAGGCTGGGGGTGGACCAAGGCCAGCCCTTTTTTCTGTTGTGTCCCTCACAGTGAGAGCGCTTCATCAGGGCCCTAGGCTGTTTTGGGAACTACCCCTGGTGGGCTCAGATCAAGACAAGTTTAAGGATAGCAAGTGTGCAAGACTTTGGCCCAGTGGCCTCATGACCTCAGGCAGGTAGACAGTCATGGGTTGCCCTTTGTGACCCTGTACCCTGCTTTGCTAGTCAGGACATCACGGTAACAGACTGCCAGGGTATCGAGGAGTATTCCTGGATTGTGACTCTGGCTTAGCTGCTGCAGTGGCTCTTGCTGCAGTGGGGGCAGCATCCCCCCAAGGGAGTATCTTCCCTCCCCAAGGCTGTCTTTAGCTTTCCCCAGTGTGTCCTTTGTGAGTAAAGCCAGGTCTGGTTCCTCTTGGAATATTCTAAGCCCCTTGTAGCACTGGACACATAGAAGATGTGCACTTTCTGCTTTGGCTCTCAGCCATCTTCCTGGGTCACCTGTGCCTTAGAAGAGTGTGGGGGTCACATCTCTGGCAAGCCTGTATATGAGCAGAGCCCTGACCTCACTTAGTGGGGTGGAGCTCTTGCCTTCTGGCCTGACTTGTGGGTCTCTAACCACTGTCACTGTGAGGAGCTCAACCCGGAGCACTGCAGAGGATCTTCCTTTGATTTACAGATCAGTCTCAAGACCCTGAACTGTGTCTTGCTATAGAAGCTGCCCACTGGTTGAATAAATGGAGAGGGAGGGTAGAAGGACCTGGCATGCATGGGTGCTCCTCCTTCTGCATGTCTGGTCCAGCTGAGGACCATGCCAGGCTCCTTAGGGCTGGGCTCTGAGCAGCTGGCATGTGGGCTGGCAGAGGCGTCAGGAGTAGGGTAGTATCCTTGGCCTCCCTCTGGCAACAGACTATTTCCCCCAGGCGGATCTTGCCTATGTGGGGACTCCTGGCCCAGCTACTTACCCAAATGGGGATAATGAGGCTTGCAGAGCTGGCAAAGTGTTGGGGAGGAGTAATTAGCCAGGCTTTGCAGGAAGCTGCTGCAGCAGGTGGGGCCAGGCCCACTGCTGAGCCAGGCCCAGCTGGAGGGGGCTCTTTAGTGGCCTGGGCTTTGCATCAGAGCTGACATGACAAATTTTGCCAGGCCACTGAGTCTCCACACCTTTGCTGCCTTGTTCTCCCTGTAAACACACAGCATCAGGCATCACCTTCAGGGACAAATTCTGCAACAGGCCCCATCCAGGCAGCGAGATGGTGGTGGGTGGTGACCGTAGGTTTTGGGACCTCCTGCGCCTGACACTCCTTGCCCTCCTCCCGCCCTTCCCCAGTTCTGGAAGGGCTGATTACCTTACTTGCAATACAGATTTTAAAAATGCTCGAACCAAGGGGCGGGGGACAAAAAAAAAAAAATGCTCGAACCATTCACCTCGTCCTAATCATGCTTCTTGACCTGAACTCTAGCTGTCTCCCGAAGAGGAAGAGAAGCGTCGGATCCGGAGGGAGAGGAACAAGCTGGCTGCTGCCAAGTGCCGGAACCGACGCCGGGAGCTGACCGAGAAGCTGCAGGCGGTGAGGAGCTCTGTGAGGGTGGGAGCACTCGGAGTGGCTCTTTCTGCTCAAGTGCCCTGTGGATGAGTCTGCGGAGAATGGTCTTTCCTTTGAGTACATGGGTCAACTTTGATGGATGAAAATGGTGGGGGACGGGGCACACCTCTGCCACCAGGCTGTGTCACTCAGTGCTGAGTGTTCTGTGCTCTCAGACCTGCTGGGGACCCGGGGCGTGAAGGGATAGAGGGTGTCAGTACCCCTGGCTCCTGGGAGCCAAGGCAGACCCAGACCCACCCCACCAGGGTTGTTCCCAAGGCTCCAGCTGCCCTCATGCTTTGCTGGCAGTGGTGGCCCAGCGCTGGCATACGGGCTCTGGTTGGAATGGAGTGGGGGTGGGGAGTGCCACTGTCAACACAAATGTCCCAGCCGATTTGCATTTTCTTGTGGTTTCTCATCTCCTGTGTACCAAGCAGGGTTCCCCACCTCTGTCATGAGCCTTGGTACCTCATGCTGCCCTTCTGAGTCACTCTGTCATGCTCCCTAATTGCCCAGACCCTGCGGGCCCATGGCCCTGCCCCTCCCTCTGGGAAGCTTGACCTGACCAATGTCACATAACTGCCTCCAGCATGTGGCCTGCGAGGAGGACTGTGTGCCGTGTGAGGAGGCCCAAAGTCAGGGCTGGCTCTCTGGGGAGAGTGTTTTCCAGGTGGGGGGATCAGAGAGACTGTCAGTGGTCCTCAAGTCCCAGGATGGGGCCCTGGAGGACGTCTCATCAGGAGCCTCCGTAGTCTCGTTACCATTCCTTGCTCTATCCCGAAACCCTGCTCTCAGACACTGAGTGTGTATTGTGTGTTCCCACGATGCCCGTAGTAATGCCCCATGGAGACGGAGCAGGACGGATGGCAGGAGTTCTCCCTCCTGGACGAGGTAGACGCCATGGGAACGCATGCGTCATGTCCACCGCACAGCTCTCCCACTGCTCGCCTTCCTGGCTGGGTGCTCCGGAGGCGTCTCTTACCGCCAGCCCCAGATGAGCCCTCCCCCAGGTCCTTCTATCTTCCTGCCTCCTCCCAGAAGCCTCACACCCTTCACCCCTGCCTCCCCCGGTCCTGACCCAGCCACCCAGGCCCCTGAGCCACATCCTCCACAGGAAGCCTCTTGCAAGCTCATGACGTTTGTCAGACCCTTGAGACAGACGGAAACTTTTCTACCCCGGAATATGCTAAGCTCTGCTTAATGAAGCTCTTGCCCGTATCTGGTATCTCCTCACTCATGAGCAGGAATCTGAGTGAGGGGAAAGTGGGGAGGAGGCTGGTGACTCACACCTTTCCCCTCCCACAGCTGCCCCTTCCAAGTGCACTCGTGGGAAAGAGGGGGTTGAGGTCTTCGCGGGGTGGCCGACCACGCAGCTGTCAGGTGTCCCCATTGTCTCCGTGGCTAAACTGAATGCGCTCCTAGTTCTGTGAGTCCAGAGATGGGAGCTTCAAAAACTGCAGTGGACCTGGGAGGGTCCCACAGGGGTTGGCTGAGACTCATTGTAAGCCAGGCACCATGGAGGAGCGTGCGTGGCTGAGCGCCCACTAGTACACGGCTTCAGGCTCAGGGTCCATGTCCACAGGGCGGCCAGCAGGGGCTAAGTGGAAGTGACCTGGTGGGGCTGCATTGAGGGCTGTGTTTTGGGCTCCCTCCTCTATTACTCCTGGGGAGCCAGTGGCCGTAGAATGTGGACTCTGGCTTCAGATCCACTGGGATTCAAACCTGGACTGCCCAACCTGCTAGCTCCGTGACTCTGGGTACATTATTAAATTTCTTTGTATCTCAGTTTTTTCACCTGCAGAAATGGGTTGTGATAACATCTGCTTTCAGAAGCTTCTAGAGGGCTGCAGGAAATGGTCTGTGAGATGCTTAGTACAGCGTCTGGCTCAAAGTAATACCCTTACAGCAGCTACGATTATTTACCCCTCATCCAAGCTGACTTTCCTCCTTTAGAGATAAAAGGAGTCGTGAGCTACCACATGACTCAGCCCAGTAAGGCCAGTGGCCAGCTGTGTGAGCTGGCTGCTGTCACAGAAGGTCATGTGAGGACCTTGCTGCATTTCCCTTTCTCACCTAGACGGACACTGTCCAGCGGCAGGTCCTTGGGAGGCTGCCGTCCCTTACGTCCTTCTTTCCCCTGCAGGAGACAGAGGAGCTGGAGGAGGAGAAATCAGGCCTACAGAAAGAGATTGCTGAGCTGCAGAAGGAGAAGGAGAAGCTGGAGTTTATGTTGGTGGCTCATGGCCCTGTGTGCAAGATCAGCCCCGAGGAGCGCCGCTCACCCCCGGCCTCCGGGCTGCAGCCCATGCGCAGTGGGAGCAGTGCAGTGGGTGCTGTGGTGGTGAAACAGGAGCCCCTGGAAGAGGACAGCCCCTCGTCCTCCTCAGCAGTGCTGGACAAGGCCCAGCGCTCCGTCATCAAGCCCATCAGCATTGCCGGGGGCTTCTACGGGGAGGAGCCGCTGCACACCCCTATCGTGGTGACCTCCACGCCTGCCATCACTCCAGGCACCTCAAACCTCGTCTTCACCTACCCCAGCGTCCTGGAGCAGGAGTCACCCGCGTCGCCCTCTGAGTCCTGCTCCAAGGCTCATCGCAGAAGCAGTAGCAGCGGGGACCAGTCATCAGACTCCTTGAACTCCCCCACTCTGCTGGCCCTGTAACCCCGTGCTCCTTCCAGCTCTGGAGGGGTCCCCGCCACTGCCTCCTTCCCAGGGACCAGCACGTTTGAGCCTCCAGGGCCACGAGGGCAAGAGTGGGACCTGCCAGGGAGCTTGCTCTGGGGGACCCGGAAGTGGGACCTGACAGTGAGGCGTTAGAGGACTTTGTTGATCTCTTGGAAGCCCCAGGACCTTCTCTTCTGCATCATTCGTCTTGGAAGCAAACCCTCTTTCTTAAAAAGCCATGGAGAACTTGGCTTGGTGGCTTCTGAAGAACCTGGAGCCGGCCTGAACATTTCTTGTCCCTTTGTCATGCTGTTGTCTCTGGAGTGATGGTGTCTTTCCTTGCCCCACCACGCATGCTCAGTGCCTTTGGTTTCTCCTCCCCTTGACTTGCCCCATCCTTCCCCAGGGTCGGTTTTACTCCTTGATTTTTATCAAATCCGCCATGACATTTCATCGGGGTAATCTGGATATTAAAACTCTTCATTTCTGGAGATGGGGCAGCAGGTGACCCTTCTGCTGGGGCTGACTTGTCCAGAAGGGAACAAAGTGCAATACAGAACCTTCTTCCCCGACACTCCCCAGGGCACTGCCGTCTCCAGAACCAGCAGCAGGGTTCTCTGAGCGCCCCAGGAAATGCCACCGTCACCAAGAGGCCCGAAGGACCCTGCCTCCTCACCCTCAGAGACAGCTTTCGCGGGATCAGGATCGACGTGGCTAGAAGAAAGGGTGTGAGATGGCGGGCCAGCTTGGGTGTGCCAAGTGCCTAATTACCAGGCCAGCAGTAGTGCCAACAAAGCCACATGGGTGTCCCAGACAGCTTCCCTTCCCCCGGTGTCTTGAGCAGGGCGTCTCCTGTAATTATTGCCTCACCATTCTGCCCCTGGACCCTTCTCTCCAGACTGGGGAGGCGTCCCTCCCTCGGAACCACACATCACTCCAGGCCCTGCTGGCCTCCGCCCTTCCCTGGCTCTCAGAGTGACGCCACCCACCGAGTTTAATGAGCGTGGGCCTGGACCCTCCCCAGATTGCAGCAGGTGGCTCCTCCCCAAGCCTCAGAGGATGGAAGGGCCCAGCACAGGGCTGGGAGATGGGAGGCTGCCCCTGGGGTGGTGTCAGTGGTAGCAGCAGCCTGGCACCCAGCCTGCCCCGTCTGACCTGGCCACGCGTATCTCAATGAAGTGCTGTATCCTGTCTGGCCTCTGTGGTCATCGCCACCTGATTCAGGAGTGAATGCTGTCTCTTCATACCCCCACCCCCACCCCAGGGTGCCCTTCTGGCCCTGTTAATACGCTGCACATAGCTGGCCACACGCCAGGGCTTGGAGCTGATGTGCCACCCGGGCCGGTTGCTGAAATGAGCTAGGATGTGTGGCTTCCTGCTGCAGAGAGCTGCCCTCTTCTCATGGGTCTCCTCACCCCCAGCAGGAGCACAGGGCAGCCCCGGCCCTGCCTCCCCAGACCACGTTGACTCCTGTCTGGGAAGGTGGCTTCTCGTCCCGCTGGCTCTGCAGGGCTGGTGCTGTCAGTGACCCAGCTCTAGAGATCACTGTCCAGCCTTTAAAATGGCATGGGTGCTATTAAACCCAGCCCAGTGGCATGTAAATTTCCAGCTCTGGAGAGAGCAGAGATGGCTTCTCGGGCTGTTCCTTTCACACCCTGAAGTGTGCAGTTAGAAAGGAAGGCCGGGCCTTATGCTTAAAATATGCAGCCCAGCAGGGTTGCAGGCGATGCATGCCAGGGTCAGCCACCTAGAGAGAGGGGAGTAAAAGAGAAAAGATTCTGTTCAGAACACTCCAAACATTCTTTCCCGCGGTCCCTGGCTGCCTTCTGGCTTCCAGGGCCTCTGGGAGGGGCATTCCTAAGAAGATTGGCCAACTGGCTTTCTGATCTCAGATTAATCAGAGAAGCCGAAGGCAGCCAGGAGTAGCAGGATATGAGCAAAGAAAAGGGGGTGCTTTGAGCTTGGGAAGGCTTAATCATCTCAAGTGGTATTTGCAGCCAGGTGGGAGTTATTTGTGCATACAGCTATATCTTAGATGAAGCTGGTTTCTGACCCTTTCTTTCTAAAAGCCCCTGTATGTCCCACTCTGTGCTGTGTGGATTCCCATGCAGGTCACAGTCTATGACTTGGAGCCAAGCTGGACATTCCTGAGCCAGAGAGGTTGGCCTCGGTTCAGATTTCAAGCCCCGCTGGTGTTGGAACCAGCCAGCCCTCGGGACTTCAGAGGCCTCCGACCTGCAGCCCTTCGCAGACCTCTTGTTTTGTCCCAGGAGGACATTTGGCTTCCCCAGAGCCCGAGGTTATTTGGAGAATGCTGAATGTTCACACCTGAGTCATGAGCGCACCCTGGCTCTCCTCCTCCTGGCTTGCTCTCCGAGTTCACGCACATCCGCATCCCTGCTCCAGCATCGCCAGACGCCTGGCCTGCTGCTCCCTCCCACGGATCCAGCTACGGGAACAGCTGCAGCGGCCATTCCTCTGTGCTTGGGCGAAGAACTGCCGTGCCTCCCTGTGAACTCAGCCTCGAGGCAGCTACGTGGACTCCAGCTGGGCCGCACACAGCTCTGGGACACTTTGCAGGCACTCCTCGATTGTCTAGTATGAAACACTCCTCATGGCCATCTGGCTGGCCTCTCTGGGAACAGTCCTCCCCTTGGCTGGGTGGCTGGGGATGGCTGCTGACACAGGAAAGAGAGCACATCCCAGGTGATGCTTAGGAAATTTCCAGAGCCAGCTCCAAGCAGAGAATTCCCTGGGGGTGGAGGTTGTTGTGACAGAGTCATCGTTCTGTCTGTTGGGAGACCAGCTATTCCCACTGTGGCCAGTCACACAAGCATCTCAAAGCCAAGAGCCATCAGGGGCTGCTGCTTTTCTTAGCCTGTGGGGAAGGAATCTCTGTGTTCCCACTTGACTCTAAGTGTCATGGGGGCCAGCCTGTCTGGACATGGGAGCTCATTTCTCCCTTCTTCATGGACCAACAGTGCTCCTTGCAACCTCGCCATGTAACGTGCAGGTTGATTTCCTTCCCTGATCAGACATCCATGTGGCCCCTTCAGAAGGAAAAGAATAAGCACCTACTACATGCCAGGCACTGTGAGGCACTTTCATATTTATACCCAATAGGATGAGATTAAGGGATAAGGGGACCCCCTTATAAAAGACCCCCAAGTAGTGGCTAAATAAAAACACTTGGAGGTGAGAAGGCCTTTCTCCAAAGACCCGAGGTGAGATTGCCTTCAGTCTGAAGTTTGTTCTCAAAGGCCCCTATGGTCTCTGCCCCCCTGGTGTCCAGCCTGTGCTCCTTTGTCCCCTCAGGTGGCTGGAGGGGTGACCCAAGCAAGTCTTTATAGAATTGTGGACCAATGGGATATTGGTGTGTATAACTTTCTTTTTAAACTTAAGTAAAGGGGTCTTGCTATGTTCTGCTTGTTGAGTTTTCTTGGCATTCATCCTAAAAGCCAGCATCTCACTATTTATTGGCAGGTATGTATGTGTGTGTGCGTGCGTGTGTTTGTGTGTGTGTGTGTACGTGTGTGCACGCCTGTGTGTGTATTTTCAAGTGCGCTTGTGTCTTGCACCATTTTTTAGAAGAAAACCCAGTCATCCCACTACTAATTTGGCATCTTCTCATGCTTCTTGTGTTTTGGGCCACGTAAAACAAAGGGTTTTAATTTTCTAATGCTGACAACATGCTCAAGAGGGTTAGGGTCGGATTTTGACAGGGGGCATGAGAAGGGAAGAGGGAGAAGAAATTGACATTTATTTTATTATTTATTTTAAATGTTTACATCTATGTGTTGTACCAAGCCTGAATAGAAATATAGCATTAAAAGTTCCTCTCTCTCACTTTCTTTTAAAAAAATTTACAATAATTTTGCTTTTTTGTTTCCAAAGTGATGTGTGACATGTGCTGGATAAACTATAAAAAGGTTGTGTTTCTAAAGGTGGGTTGTCATTCCTCTAGGGACAGTGGCTGTCGAAAAATAAACATTGTAAGAGAATACAGTGAAAGACCTTGCCGTGTCCCTCAAAAATTACGTGCTCTGCTATGATTAAAAAACTATTCCATTTATTTTAGTTTGTGGTGACTTGATTTGGAGGAAGAAAATATTTGACATTGTATAAAGACTAAGAATCAGGTGTCTTTCACAGTGGGAGATGTATATATAGTATTTTGGTATATTGTGGAAATCCACGAGCTTTGTGTATTTGTATTTGAGATACATTGATGGTGTGGAGTAAAGTCTACTATTAGATCCTGTAGGCAAACAAGTTGTACAAGGTTTCTGTTGCTCTGTGGGGAACGTGATTACCTTTCCGGGCACCTTTTAAACATTTTTTCCCCCTGATTTTGGAAATGGTTCGATTGGACCTCTTCTGTCGCCCTTTCCAGGCAGGACTGTAAGCCCAAAATCGTTGTATAGTTTCGAAAATTGAGGAGTAGCTGTGTTCCGAAGCATCTCTGGTGGTATCTGTTGTTGTTGTGTTGTGTTGTTTTACTGTATGTAACACAAGCCTACAGTATTTGCACTAAAGAAAGCTTGTTAGAAAAAGCTTGCTGCTATGGAAGAAAGAACATATTAAAACATTTTTCCCTCGCGGTATTTTTTTTTTTTTTTTGGTAGCTTTTCCACTTTCCGTTGAGTAGCATTTTGTAGAATAAAATGAATTAAGATGAACAGCCTCTGATGGTTGCTTTATTCCATCTTTGTTCCTGTCTCCTTCGGCTTCTCTTTTTCTTCTATTGCTTTGACCTGGTGGATGAAGCAGGTCTCTCTCTCCCGGGGATACGGTTCACTGTAAACTTACTCTGACACTATGGAGTGGATTGCTTAGGGGATGTTAGAGCCCCCACCCCCAGCCTGCCTTCTTTATTCTTTGCCCCTTAATGTCCTTCTAACGCATCCTCCTGGATTTCCCACTGCCCAGGGCCTCAGCAAGCTGCCAACTGCTGCCAAACCGTGGCCCAATAAAAGTCTAAGGGTATTTTGTTGAAGCAGGTTGATTCTGGAAATCCACAAACCTTCAAAGAAGCAATTAAATGTTTTGCTGAGGTTGTCATCGTGGTCAGACAAGGTGGGGTGCAGAAAAGGGCTCTGAAAACTGAGGCATGCAAGTTAGCGCCGTGACGACATCTCTAGACTTCCTTTCTGAAAGACAGCAGGTCGTTAGGTGTGAAATACTCAGAAATGTCAGCCCAGTTCCCATCATCCTGTAGCCCAGGGAACCTGGAGTGACTGAACAATATCTGTTTGGGGGTGTTCTTTCCTCGTAGGAAGGCAAACCAGTCATTAGTTAAAGCTTGTAGCGAATGACAGCTGGCTGGGAATTAGTTGTGGAAATTACACACTTGTTCCAATGTGCTTTAGACAAGCTGAGGTGTGGGCCTCTTTCTCTGGAGGAGCCCAGAGCCCTGTACAGGGAGCCAGGGAGCCCTGAATCCTAGCCCTATTCCCATTACCTGTTTTGAAAGCCCTCGAGTCTCCTTTCCACACCTGTTAAGGGGCATGCAGTGACAGCTCTGTAAGAGCATCCTCCTGGAAGTGGTGATAGTATCTTTTCTATCCCTTTTGGGTCCGCATGGTTCAGGGGATCAGTGCTGCTCAAAAGTCTCAGTCCCGGATCTCACTGTGACCGCTCCTGTCCGGATGGACAGGGGGACCGTGCACAAGGTCTCGCAGGTTTCCGAGGCACCTGTGCTTTCCTCTGCAGTGGACGCGTTCACCCTCATGAAGTAAGTCTCAAGGAGCAGGTGCTTAGCTTCTCTGGGCTGTGGGATGATCCTGTACTGAGAAGCGTGTGCTCACCCAGGTGTGGGTTCCATGTGTTGTCTGGCTTTCAGTCACATTTCAGAGTCGACTTTTATTTAAATTTCCACCTCTTTGTCTATATGGCAATTAGAGTGGTTACTGACTGCCAGACACTTATTAGAGGGAGTCATAAGCTTCTTCGTGCAGCTGTAAATGCCTTAAGAACATCCAGACAGTCTTTTATGGAAAAAACCAGTAAGGAACGACTTCTGCTGGGTCCACTGGGGAGGTTTTGCAGTCACCTGTGAGTCTAGGCTGAATTGGTCCAAACCAGTTGCACGACCTGGGTTGATGATAAATCCTTGATTCCAATTCCAACAAATTCGGATTAAGCAAAGTTCTGTCTTAGAATCTCTTGATGAGGGATTTCTGGAACCATCTACTTTTGTTGTTGAGTTCCGAGTGAACACAACTTTGTCTCTAGGCTTTTGTGGGTGTTCAGTAGACCTGCTACTACGTATGAGGAAAGGAATTTCTCTCGGAGCTGCCATTTCTCAGTACATGGAACAATGAGACCAAGTATGGAAAAGCACTGAGAAGCCACAAAGTGCTAAAACCAGGAGGATCTTAAGGAGGCCCGGCAGCTTCACTGCAGTGCAGACACTGGTCCCGGGGCTCCAGCGCCATGTTGGAAATGAAGGGCGCGATTTTCCTGTTGGCTCTCTGTGTTTGAAGGATGGATGAATGCTTGTTCAGGAGCAGCCTGGTCTTGCCGGCTACCGGGCCCCACCAGGCCCCCAAATAGAGGCTCCAGCGCAGAGGTCCACTAATGGCCTTGCAGAGATTCGTTTTCTTCCTGAAGAGACAACTGGACTGCTTCCTACAAGGCTGGGAGCAGTTGGAACTGGTCCAGTTGGCCTTCTTTACCGTCAGACCTGCTTGGCGTGGAGAGAAGTTACAGCAGGGCAGGATCCTCTTCCTTTCGCTCAGTGAGGTGCCCAGTGGACAAATGCCATGGCCCAACCTATCATAGTCTGAAAGTTGTTGATTCTGGAAAGTTCCACTGATTTAAATAAAAACTAAGTAAAATTGCTCTGGAATTAGAAGATGATTAATCAAACTAAATATCTTAACAAGTACTTATAGTCGGGAGTGGGGGCGCACATCTGTAATCTCAGCATTCGGAAGGCTGAGGCAGAAGGATTGCCATGAGTTCAAGGCCAGCCTGGGCTACACAGTGAGTTCAGGGTCACTCATATAGTGAAAAATTCTGCAACATTTAATGTCTTCACAATATTGTGCAACCCCCTTGACCTATTTCCCATTTTCATCACCATGCCACTAAGTGTTAAGCCCTGATCACCTTTGTTCCCAATCCCAGCTCATCACCCACCTGCCCCTGTATGTATGAACTTAAATTTACACGGCATTTTTGAGAATGATTCTATTTTCAAATTTTAAAAAAATCGTGAAAAGTTAGCAGGGAAAGCTAAGAGGTATTAATAGTATGATCTGCCTTATTTTCTCTTCATACTTTTCACGTCTTCTCATTCATGGTCTCCTGCAGTAGCTGGGTGTGTAGGAAAATCTCAGCTCCAGGAGAAATTCCTCTTCCCCTCCACGCTGGTGGTACAATCACTACCTTGAACCAGAGCACAAGGCATTCATCTGTTTCCCAAAGATGGAAGAACTTGAAAAGGCAGACTGTGTTCACCAAGGAAAACAGACACGCTGGTCATCTCACAGACATAAGGACCACAGTTTAAACTTAGTGTTCAGAGACGATTACTGTCCTGGAATAACAGAGATGGGGAAGAAAATCTCTCATTTGTTCACATGTATTCTTGTGTCCCTGCTGAGTGCATGGAATTGCAAAAGGCACTCTGGAACACAGATGAGCAGGGAACTTTTTGTGCGGGTGTGTGTAAGGTGTCTCTGCTTCACTGTCAGGTGTTTCCGTTGGGAAATGCAAGAGCTGGAAACTGGAAGCTGCCCTTGGGGAAGTTCAGCCTGGCGGGAATGGAGGGACAGGGGCTGCACACGTCTTGGCCTGTGGCAGGCGGGGGTTTCAGAGAAGACTCCATGGAGGGAAGGGCTGGAAGGGTAAGGCAGGACCTCAGAAGAAGTGAGTGGATGTGGGCGAGCCTGGCCGAGGGAGCCATCTGAGCAGACTTAGAGATGCAGGTGTGGCTGGCTGTGGAGGTCGAGCTGAGTGTGTGCAGATTTGGGGGGACGATGAACATAAGAAGCCATGACCTTCTTTCAAATGGTAGGCTTGAATTTTTGTGTCACACACTGGCACCTGTTTGTGCCATGTACTTAGACTGGGGAGGCAGAGGGGGTGCCAAAGGCTTCATGCCCCCACCCTGGCCGTCCTCTCCTCGGGGGAGGATCAGTAACTACAAGTTCACTGAGAGATCCAGGGAAGACAGACAGGGCGTTGTCAGTGCAGCAGGAACACTGGGACCTTCCCACATCTGGGGGGGGAGGGGCAGCCGTGGGCAGCAGAGCTTCCCAGAACTGCTGTTGTTTACAACTGAGAACCCAAAAATGGGAAAATGGGGGCTTTACTTCAAGTATTGGGGGTTACCGGGGTGCAGCTGAATGGCAGGTGACACAGAGCAGGAGCAACTGCTGAGGACAGGTAGGGAGGGGAGGAGGAGGCGGGGACAAGAGAGGCCCGACTGACAGCCAGAGTGTAGCCGTGGAGCCCGATGGCAGGAAGGTGCTCTGGGAGGCCAAGTTCCAGGAACAGAAACACAGAGGCAGGAGGAGGAGCTGGGTGGGTGGGGAGGCCCAGGCCCAGGCCCAGGCCCTGAGTTCAATATTAGGCTTGTGACTTTGAGGAGCCACCACAGGGGTTGGCAGGGGTCCGGGGCTGAGGCAGTTCACAGGCAGGGCCAGAGCTCCGAGGAACGCCACACACCGAGCAGTTTGGTGCCCCACTTAGCTCATGTTCGCAGCGGCCCTAGTGCTCAGCCTTGGTGTCTCGGCCAGTGCCTCTCTTCTTCCCCACAAGGGCCACCCAGACTGCCTCTTCTCTCTCTGAGTGTCCCCCGACCCCCACACTTTCCACAGATGACATCATCTTCCACTCCACTGAAGAGGGAGGCCATCACGGGGGGTTTCCTCAGTTTCCCTCACCAGGCTGACAAACCTGTCAGCTTCCTTCTTTCTCCCTCTGCACAGAAAGGTCCCTCCTACTTCCCAAGTCTTTCCCCACTACCCAGCTCCGAGCTCATCATGTTCCTCCTTCTCAGAGACCCCCGTTAACCGTTTTCCAGCTCTTCTTACCTTGTTGTCTGCCTTCCCTAAGCAGCAGCAAACGAGATCAAGTCTTGCCCATCTTGGAAATGATAGAACCCCTCCCCGACCACCTCCCGTTTCAGTCTCACTGCCCAGTCTGGAGAGAGAGATCTTGGCTATGGCTTCTGGTTCCTCACCTCCCACTCTTCTCTCAACCCACTGAAGTCCAGCTCCCACCCCCACTGCCCTGACTGTCTGAACTTCCTTGCAATGAAGTTCTGTAGACATATCTGAGTCTTGGCCACCCCTAGCCTCTGGGTGCAGTCAGTACTGCAAGCTGTGCCTCCTGGGGTACGCCATTTTCCGTGGCTCCCCTTGTCCTGCCTTGACCCTCATGGCTCCTTCAATCCCATGGCAGTGTGACACCACCACTGTCCATGTCAAATGGGCAAGTTCCATTAGCCCCACTGCGAGCTTCCCAGCAGAAACCCATTCTCGGTCATCAGGACAGCACCCGTATCTCCAGCTCTGCTTTGCAGCTGAAACACCACATGGATTAAGAGGGGTGCTGGTCTGTTTCTTGCTGTTATAGATTTTAGGGCCCTGAACCCAAAACAACATTGTTAAAGCCTATTGTACAGGAACATCAGTTAGGATTAGGTTCAGCAAGAACCCAAATAGAG